TATCGAGATAGATAAGCTTTTAAATTAAGATCGATGATAAGGCTGCAGCGGATTTTGTTGTGACTTTTAGATGATGGTGTGATCACAGCAAACTGAAATAAACAAACTACGGGTCAGATCATTTCGATGAAGTAAAACTCATAAATGGAATATTGATATAGAAACTTCACTCAGCTTGGTTTCAGTATATTTCAATGAAAACTGTTGAAATGCTGAAATGTTAGTAAATGGTGCATTCCAATTCTGCTTATTTTACATATACCGCCCTGCAGAAGTACATGAGATGATAATTCGTCCTTTTAAAGATCAAGAACGTATGTTTGACAGAAAAACATGCTCTGAACTCCAACTTTGTTTGTTGATTGTGGGTTTTTTTTTTTGAAATATTATTGCTTTATGCTTAGGATAACAGACCTTTTACAAAACATTATAACATTTGATTCTTAATAGTTCATTAAAAAAAATCATTCATATGTATTGAACAACGCAACATTCGTTCCAACTTCGGTCAACAAAGGTAGATATATTTAATAAATAAATTCAGTTTTATTTATACTTTTCCTTTTGACATTATTGGTCTTGTCTGCGGTTTTCTTCTTTTTATTGTTTCTGGCGCTAGAATTTGACGTTTTCCGTTATAGCTTCTGTAGAATCCTGCTGTCCAAGGGAGCTGGAAGAAAGAGATAGTATCGTACTCCATATATCACTATGATGGTGGATTCGATCAGCACCCTCAGACGTGCATGACCTAGTTACATTGTTCAGATCAGACTACTAGTTGTACACGGTAGAATATTATTAGATAGTGTTATTCAACAGTCCCTCTTTCAACTAGTCTTATGACTTGTCACGTTCAGATAAACCACGTGACTTCATCCACTATTATTTTGTTCTGTTAAGACGCAGTGTTAGTTCTTGAATGATCGAAAACCGTCATCTGAGGAGCCAAAGTTCTCTCCAATGCACGCTACTATGCAGTAAGGTTATTGATGTTCTTTGGCAGTGTAAACAGTTTTATGCATCTACTCATCTGATGTTCGGCTGTATTATTTTCTGATGTATGTTTACCCTGTAAACCTCAGTCAGACTGGTCGTTACATTATAATCTAATCAGCCTGCTACAAAATATTAACTTGAAAATAAAATCATTGGAAGGAAAATTTTTATGTTCACCATCAGCGAGTTGCTGCTTAAAAGTAAATTAGTCAATTCATGTTACATAAACGCAAAAACAATTCTTTTTGAATTTCTATTTATGGATCGTGTTGTAAGTAGTTATAAAACACAGTTACAGGACATAATGCACCTGAAACTCAAAACATAATTAATATAAGTAATGTCTGTTTTCTCCAGTGAGCTCACGATTTACTTTTGGAACGTTTAAAAATTGACAAACAGAAAGCCATGTTTTAGTCGCTACTAACCTAACCTGTTTTTCGGTGTCTAATACTGAAGATAAACCACACTTTATAACAATGGCATTGTAGGTCCCGTACTACCCCTGGAAATACGCCCTTGATCATTTATTGTGCTCAGATGACCATGATTAAGCTCAACAGTCTGATATCACAATCTCAATTGTTATACGCTTCTGTGAAGAACATCAAGTCATTTTTAAACCAAAAATGTTGACATACATCCTCCACTTTAGCTTCCGACTTCGGGTTTAAGCAGGCCATGAATGAAGTGTCCATTGGTGCTGCATCTAGAGGATTTAAACGGGATTGCCGTGATTCTAGTTATTTGGACATTTTTCTCATGAAAATAGTCATTTATTTTGAGTTATTGCAAGAAGCTTGTGAGCCTTCATCAACTTTAAATCCTTGTTTATTATTTGAATGATACTAGAAGTTATTCCCAACTTCATTGCAGTGGATATTTCAGCAAGAGAATGGTATTTCTAACCATAATTTTCACATTGTGGATGAGGGCGTTGTTTCGAATTGGCTTTGAAGTATAGTATTGGTATTTCTTTACTCTCCTAAATGCTCTGTTGTGCGAGTGTTCTACTTTTATAGTTTATAAAACACTTATGTAATTTTTCTCCACTGTGTTAATATATGTAAATCTATAAAAAGTGTGATTAACCTTCTGTATAATGCTCAGTACACTGATAATACATTATGCATTTATTAAGCAAATAAACGTTAACAAGGGAGACGATTGTTTGCCTTTATTTGAGATTGTAACTACGTATTGGGTGCAGTTATTGTGCTGGTGAATTATACATTTGCATCATTATTGTTACTTATGATTTCATCGGTTTATTTCTAGCTTTCTCTGGACTAATAACCATTCAGATTTTTTATCTCAATTTGTACTAGATGTGCCAATTGCACATTTAATTGCAGGGTGTCCGAAAAGTCTAGAAACGTAGGCACTTCAACGAATTTTACACAATGTGTTACACATGCTGTCATTGTAAGTTTGGATTAACAGCAGGATTAACTTTCTCATGATTTGACAACGACATAATCAGTCACGAATCTGAATTTAAGAAAAGTTACCCATGGTTCCAGATTTTTTTGGACACCCTACATATATATCTAGCAACTTCTATAATGGAGGGTATAAGATTTTCTGATTTCATGTTTGTGGTCAGAACTATCTTCTCAGTATGTGACTTTTTTATTAGTTAACAAGTTTCTCACATATCTTAGCAGAATTAAATGAACAATGCTACATCGTCTCTTTCATTCAACGACTTGAAAAAGATAGTTTAAATTTCTCTCTGAAAGTAAAATATCACATATGAAGTAAGTATTTTCATTGAACTACTTCTATGCATACACCCTACCCCAATTATCTGTGCTAAAGGATTGACTGTCACTCTTATAACACACCCACAGTTTAATTCAAATTGGAGGTACATGTTGTGGTATCACATAGATTCAACCCCGATTCACAAGTTCTAAAATCCAGAACTCTACCACAGGTTCAACCCATGCACTCTGCATCAGCTGATATGCGAAAATTTCATTTTAAACATAGTTGGATCATTTAAATCTTGTAATAAGATTGTAATTCATAAGACACTTAGGTAATTTTTCGCCTTTGAATACCATTTTTAAATTCTGTGTTAGAACTATCGGTTGATCCACTATCATATCCTACGTAAAAGTAAGGTATATGTCATTTAGTTCTTAAAACAAGCATTAATATTCAACCTTTGTCAATTTGATTTCATCTGGCAATGGTCTTTCGTATGACAAATAGACTGTAGTCATTCTGGAGAGTTCGTGTAATTTTAAAATAATTTTTATACAATGACGTTTTCTGTTTCTTATCAGTTAGACTTAAAAAATGAGCATACGTTAATTAAAATTAATAATCATGAAAATGGGTTAAAGTCGCAAATGAGATTTAATATTATATTAACAAATATACATAAATTATTCCTAACAATGTTGTATTATATAAAATAGAGAATTTCGAATGTTCTAATTTAGTCGTCACATATAGTTTCCAAAGTTGCCAACAGATGGCAAGAAGCGGTTGTTTAACATTGTGTTGAACATTTGACAGCATTTCTTGCGAGGGATAAAATATAACATTAGAAAATAATTGTTGAAGTAATCATAAGAAACAAAGAAGTTGTTGGATGTGTTCTTCCAGATCATTCTGTACACTGAATTTAAAGAGAAAGATCCCCCTTTCTGAGGTATCCACTCTAATGATGAGGTATTCTAGTTTGGTGATTTTTTTATCGCTAAACTAGGTCACCAAAACAAAATAAAGCAGACTAAACGTTATCTTGTCCTCCTTCAAATTAGTTGGACCTGTTTTTTCTATAGTTCTAACGAATACTGAACACGAGTTGGTTATTTTTCATACAATTCTGATCACACATGAGAATAAATTATAACATGTTAACCACATTACATCTGCCATACATATCCTGTACTGAAGAGGCCTCTTTCCCAATACCAGGGCTTATCAGGTTGTTTAGAATACAAGAGATGTAGTAGTGGTCTAGGCGCTATGTATATCATCAGTTTTCATGAACAACAACCATTATGGAGTGAACAAGATTAAGCATGTGAATTGTAATTATCAACATTTATATTTAGCTCGGCATGGCCAGGTGGTTAGGGCGCTCGACTCGCAATCTGCGTGTCGCGGGTTCGAATCTCCGTCCCACCAAACATGTTCGCCATTTCAGCCGTGGGGGCGTTATAATGTGACGGTCAATCCCACTATTCGTTAGGTAAAAGAGTAGCCCAAGAGTTGGTGGTGGGTAGTGATGACTAGCTGCCTTACACTATTAAATTAGGGACGGCTAGCGCAGATAGCCCTCGTGTAGCTTTGCCCGAGATTCAAAACAAACAAACAAACATTTATATTCAAGTCATTTACAAATTGAGTGAAGTAACAATAGGTAATTCTGTTCTAACGGTTCTGTCAATAACAGTTTCTCTTGATCTTATTAGAGCAATTGGGTTCAATTTTCTTTTTCTTCTTCTTTGCTTTAATCTAACACTCTTCTTTCATATTTGACTTAAATGTAATATATTTGTCGTGAATTTCAAATCGCATTTTATTACCGTTATTGTGACGAACTGCCAAACATATTTAAGAGAACTTTTTCATAAAAAGATACAGTTTACGAATACCAACAATAAAACGTTCAGAAGCTCGATCATTTTACTGGTTTTTATCATGATTGTATTGTACGAAACAATCATTTATCGTGATTCGTTTGCCTTCAGGGAAAAATTAAAACAGATATATAAGCCTTCCAAGAACCTAATTTTATTTCAAAATAACACATTAATAAAATCAACACAAACCTATATGATGGAATGAAAAATTAAAAATTGTTCGCTAAATTAAATCTTCTAGTCAGTGCTCCTTACAAGCTCGGTTTTTTTTAATCTAAAATCTAATTTGGTGAAAGAAGTACTAACAGATCGTACATGAAACATTAACCTTGTCTATTATTTTTATTATTTACACACATATATATAATATTCGTGAATACATATTTTTTCCAAATTTTCATTTAGTGAAAAACAGGCGCTTAAAAACCAACTTCTGTGATCACATCATACAAGAAAAGATTTGTTGTTTGCTTCTGCCATAAGTCTTGCATTACATCAATTCATGGCACACAAGTCTTAAAGTTCATAGCGTCATCACGTATAGTACCTTTTAATTAAAAATTCAACTTCTCTTGAATAAAATATATCATGTTTCATAAGATTGTCAACATAAGATGCTTCAGTTAATAATAATCCAAAATCTAAAAGAAAAAAGAAGGGTTAACATGCCCCAAAATTTAAAATGAAGGTTGGGGTTATAAAACTTATTTTTCTTTCTCTAAGGTCGACGTATAACCTAGTTCGATATCTTTTCTGGCATTCCTGTTTCGAAAGTACCGTTAGCTGGTTCTGATGGTTCCTGTCTTCGAAGACGCATGCGTAGATGGATCTCGATAGCTAGATACCCAGAATATCCTATTCCTAAAACTATCAGTAAAATGTACATCTTCACGTTGATGCATAAGAATTGGGCGTATGCGAAGGCAATGATGAAACCTAGTGACTCCCATAGACGATAGTTAGCAAAAGCTGCCGCTTCGTTGCTAGGAAACAGGATTCCATATACAGCTGGAAAATATTTTGGTTATTTATATCATTTAATAAAGCATATTTTCTTAACCAAAGTGAAACTTATATTCATGGCTAGTTTTCATGGCTAGTTTTTAAGTATTTATTTGGAATAAAAGACATTATAAGTTACTGATGGTAAACGTAACAATGAGGTATGTGAAATATTCAAGTTTTTAAAAGGAACCAAAGCATCAGACAAGTGTGTGATGATAAAATTAAGGGTCTCGTCGTAAGGGTTAGTAACCTCTAAGATTACCGAAGTCCGTTTCCAATTGGTTATTGTCTTAAAACTTTTTATACAAGATTATTTCCAATATCCATATATATTTTGTATTACACAGATGCATGTACTTAGATGAATTGTCATAAAACTCTCGAACTGTCTTCCTGTTTTCCAGTAGTCGTTGTTACAACCAGAACAAACACACTGATGGATTGTTGTATTTCAGCACATCAACATTGCTCCTTAAGAAAATTGTTTTTAATTTATAGCTTATTATAACGTTTAAAATGAGTTTGGAGTGATTTTTCGTTATTAGCATTGTATTTACCATATCATTTTAATATATAGACTTGGAACTAGTCTACGAAACCACCAAAACCTAATAAGGTATTATTCGGATACCAGGGATACTCAACTGATGATTGAACACATATTGTAATCATTAAAGGTTTTACTTTTTTGGTCTATTGATTTATGACACTAAGTATTTATAGTAAGATTTTTTTTTACAGGACGTCATGAGTAATTTATAAACTACTTTATCTTTAGTTTTTGATCAGAAGTTCTTAATAATTAACTTGTTAACTGTATTTCCATATAATGAGTTTTAGTTTAAACTTCAATATTCTGTCGATATTAGTTTGTTCAGTAAACTAATAAAGAAAATTCTGAATAACATTTATCTCATATATAGTTACTTAGTTGACAACATACACTTGAAGTGATGCAATGGAAAGTCACAAAAAGTAGTCCATTAAAACAATCGCTTTTCTAAATGCATTCTGGCTGTACAATGCACATTATTGATTTATTATAAATTATGTACCATTTTCGAAACTAAAACAGATTTTGCGCAGTATTAACTTTAGTTGTTATTCTAGTTGTCGCTGTTGTTATAATTTTTTGGAGTAGTTACATAATTCTTATTCCATGTCTCAACGTCCAGTCATGCTCTATCTGAAGACAATGCATCTGACAATAGTCCTACAGCGTTAGTTTTATTGTAAACGTCTCCATCGTAAAGCTTTCATGTCAAAAGTAAACCACTTTTACCTGCATACTTTCCATAATCTGACTTGTACACGAAGATGATGGTTTAGCAGTGATCATTTAAACTGTCCGATCACATAAACATCCACAGGTGACTTGACCAATATATCTTTGTACAGAATAGCATAAATACCCGTCTAGGAAATTCTAATTTCCTTTATATGAACGCATCTTTATTATCTGAGAGTGAAAATATTTTGTGTGAGAAAGAGCTATTACATACCCTTCCCATAAGCAATCGCTTTTCAGTGGCATCACAGTGCTTATTCAACGCTAAAGAATGTCAAAATTTAGTTCACATATATGCCTTTACACCGTGACGTTATATTAGCTTTGGTTGTTACTTGTTAATTTTCATGTTTAAAATCGTTTTAATATAAGGTACTCAACTTCTGTGTACATATTTTAGGGAAAAAGAATAAAACAGAGCAAATGCATTTATTCTGCACAACTTACCATTAATTTGTGTTTGCCACACTGCGTCTGACAATCCCCAGAGGGCAGCAATAACAAAGAACACCGTGACGTTGTCGGGTAGAGGTTTCCATAAAAACATAGTTATTAAGGTAGCTACATTGACGAGAGCCCCCATAGTAAAGATGACAATTCTCCCAAACCATTTAATTAGTTGGCCCAAAGCTATCGACGATAGGGCATCAGCCACTCCGAAACAAATCATTACGTACCCCACGTTGTGGATTCCCCAAGCACAGCTGACGAAGGCCTAAAACGAAACCATTGTAGAAATTAATATTTATCATACAGTCGAACATAAAAATAAAAAAAATAAAAAACTGGTATTCTTACATTTCTCCCTGTATATATATATACTAGCTGAGTTATCCGGCGTTGCACGGTGAAAATTTAGATTTGCAACGTATAGATCAGTTTTTTTTCAGCAAATTATTCAGTAAGTAGACAAAAGCTGTGATGCGAGAAATAAAAAAGCATTTAATGAAAAAAAGCTTTATTTGAAATTTGTTTGACTTTGTCTTGTTCTTTGAGCCTGAAGTCGTACATCATGCTGCTCCTCCGTTTCTTGCTCTCTGTAAGTTATTTGTCTTAATTT